TGACAGTGCAAAATACATTTATGTACATCCCTCTTACAAAAACACCAATATGTTAGCATTCCGGGAAGCATGCTAGTTTTCAGAATTTTTCCCCCCTATAACAGAGTGAAATAGCAGCTCCGAAAGATAGCTTTTTTTTTTCCTTTTCTTTTCTTCAGGACAAATGAAAAAAAAAGAGGGGGTTTCTTTTCTCCTTTGAACTACTAGAGAAATATCACTACTACAGACATATAAAAGCAGCATAGAAAGTTACAGGTTTCTCACCTACTAGTAATAAAGAAGACTAAATGTGAGCATGATTAACTACAATGCATTTTTCACATTTGTCCCAACACATTTACAGGAAAAAACACCATTGGGAAACCTCACAGGACAGAAGTGTTTTAACACCAAGAGAACTACTAGATTTTTTTCCCCATTTTAAGTAATTTTTGATTTAAATTAAAAACCCAGACAGAATGGGATAGAGAGAATTTGGAAAGGTTCTGGAGCTGGAGTCACTGTATTATCATTGTTGCGGGTACAAAAACGCATGAGGTGAAACAGACCCGATTGTCTTACTCTGTGGACCCTTGTAAAAAAGTGAAGATTTTTTTTTGACGCTTTTGGGGAAGGGGTAGAGGCAGCTGGTTGGCATCAAAGCTGCCAAAATGCTAATTAACTGCAGACGCTGTCCTTATTTCTGTTCTAAAAAGGGAAAAAAACCCACAAAAACCAAAACAGAACAAAACCAAAACAAAGAATGGAAAAGAACAGGAGCTGTTTGTATGATGGCATTTTCCCCTTTGCTGCTGTCTTTAAGTCCTACATCCCACTGCAAATCATTTTCCATTTTTCATTCTGTTGACCTGGATATTATTATTTCATTCAGAAACAAGAAAAAAAAAGAGAACATCTGTGTCTCCTTCCAATCCGCTGCACATCTGTGTGTTTTTGATGCAGGTCTTCAGAGTTCAGTCAGTAACCCACGGACACTATTCATCTTCTTATCTAAATGTTTGCTGCTTTATCCAATGCTCTTGCCCTTGAGGGTTTATTTTCCCTTTCTTTCCTTCTCTCTCGTTCTCTCTCTCTCTCTCTCTCGCATTTAAAAAAAAATCCATTATTGTTATAAAGAACATTGTGACTTTATTTTTATTAGCATTTTTGCTTTCAACAGCAATTAGCAATCTCTTGGTTTGCTGTTTGGTAAAGCATTTGTTAATGAGGTCATCTAGTTTAAAATCCCAGCTACTGGAAAATAACAGGGAGGAGGTCAAATCTATCATTTTGCGTGTGTTAAATTATCTGCTCTTCTCAGTTTCCTAAAGAAAAGACATCTTTGTTATCCACAAGAAGTCATTATGACCCGTTACTGGCCTTCTGTATTTTACTTCTACCTCAAGATACAGTATCCTTGTAGTATTGAAACATGACAGTTCAGTAAAAAAAGTTGAGCATCTGAGGATGAGGATTTTGTTTTGTTTCGCATTTTGTCTGTTTTTTTTTTTTAAGTACTTCTGTGTTCAGTCTTAGCGAGGAGTCGTTTCTATGGTCGACGGAGTTCCGGGGGTGTTTGACCTAGGAGTAGCTGCTGGTGGTGTGTCAATCGGGCTTCCGGCGCCACTGTTGGGTGTTGCAGACGAGCTCACTGCTGGTGTCTCTCCTTGCTGCTGGGCCTGAAGCGTCTGTCCACAGATGTGGTGATGTTTCTCCCAGTCCTTATGTTGGCAAAATGAGCCACAGTATCGTGCTGTGTTGCAACCACTGCAGGTTTCACTAGCTTTACGGCCACAGTTCCAGCAACTCTATAGAGAAGGCAGAGAGAGAGAGAGAGTGGGAGAGAGAAAGAAAGAAAGAGAGAAAACCTTCAGTGATTTGGCTAGAATTTTAATATCATCTTACCTTCACAACCAGTGTAATATATTCATTATCTTGCTCTTGGTTTAGGCAAGATTATGACATGTAAACTGCAATCGCAATGGGAATATTTACATATATATATTTTACCCATTCCTAACTGTTGCTTTCCATAGTGGTGACAAGCTGTTTTTCTAACTCACGTGAATTTCCAAATCTGTTTACGATACAATATAGGGAGTTCAGAGGTCACACACTAAACCTGTGCAAAGGAGCTTTCCCATACAACTAACTACAAGGGACCATGTGATTTTGGCCACCAACTATGGCTAAAGGATTTTCATTGTTTACAGAAATACAAGAAGCTCCTTTTTACTGTGTCAGATTATGTATTGGTCAGTAAGGTCCAGTTATAGCCTACAGTAACTGAAGGACATTGTTCAGGCAGTCACAGAAGAGTTTCCTCCCAGATCTATTAGTAAGATGCTAGCAACTGAATCTGGAACCTTCTGTATGAAAGGCAGTACTCTCCCAGTAGACCATCCCTGCATTTACAAAAGGGTTCAGTAGGAAAGTTCTTTCTGTCACCTTTATCAACTTTTAAATAACTACCCATTACTAAAATAGTAGCTAGCAACTAACATTCAAAGGTTGAGCATGGAAAGTTACTTTTAAAAAGTAATTTCTCCCTGTCATGTACTCCTGTTTTGTAACTCATTCTCACTACAGGTCATAACACTGAATAACGGATTCTTCGTGTTACTTATCACACTGCTCATTGCTTTTTCTTGACTTTCAATTACTTAAAAAGAAAACACCTTATGATAGATGTTAATGGCAAAAAAGAGAAAGAAAAAGTAACTGCCAGATGCCTGTAAAAATATAGAAAGGACCTATAAAATGTACTTGCTGCATCAATAAATTTGCTTTGATCCTAAGTATAACATGCCCTTCACCCTAGCTACTCCCAATATTAACTAAATACAAGTAACTATTTATTTGTAAACTTGTTCTTTCCAAACTCCACTTAAAAGTTTTTCAACTGGAGGACTTCATTTGAGAAGACGTTTCCAGAGTGAGGCACCACTACTAAGAAGGCCTTGCCAAAAGGAAGAAGCTAAAGAATGGACACTGTCACCGCTAAAGTATGGGAAGATTCATGAGAAGGTAGTATTTGAAGTATGTTGGGCCCAAGTCATTGAGAGAATGCCTAGACAAAATTGTTCATCTACATCAGTGGTCTCCAACCTTGGGCCAGTCATTGAGAGGATGCCTAGACAAAATTGTTCATCTACATGACCTTATTTGGTGATAGCTTTAGCATCCTAACAGATGACTTGCAATGTATTTTATCTTACATGCATTATGCATTTTGTTCAAGATTGAGGTTGGGGACCACTGATCTACATGACCTTCTTTGGTGATAGCTTTAGCATCCTAAAAGATGACTTGCAATGTATTTTATCTTACATGCATTATGCATTTTGTTCAAGATTTTAAAAGGCCTCTTTACATTGTTACAGCATGGCAGACATGCTAAGGCTCTGCCTTAATTTTTTTAAAATTAAAAATAAATCCTCAATGACACAAAAAAAGCGATGGTGGGGCTCAACAAGAGACATATTTTTGTAGAATCTCAGCAACTGCAGTTATTACATTCTTCTGGAGATATGGAGCCTAAAAATTAAAAATAAATCCTCAATGGCACAAAAAAAGTGATGGTGGGGCTCAACAAGAGACATATTTTTGTAGAATCTCAGCAACTGCAGTTATTACATTCTTCTGGAGATATGGAGCCTTTTGTCCTTTTCAGGTGTCTTTTCAATTTAAATACATATGCAAAGAGGTATCTTTTTCTGGTGAAAATTTATTGCAAATGATCCACCAGCCTACCTTATTGAAGTAATTAAAATAACTATTTTTCTAGTTTGCTCCTTTTAAGAAACTCAAATGCTTCCCATCCGGTGTTGTAGTGGTAGTAATACTCACCATAGCCTCTCTTTCCCATAAATGGGAATCTGAATATGCAAGCTGCTGAATTTAGGAGCAAATATTTTGTAAAGTTGTTGTTGTTATGAGCTGTCAAGTCACCTCCGACTCATGGTGACCTGAGCATGTCCTATCCTCAACAGCCCTGCTAAGCTCTTGTAAACTCAATCCTGTCCTTTCTTTAAGGAGTCAATCCATCTAGTATTCGGTCTGCCTCTTTTTCCTGCAGCCTTCAATTTTACCCAGAGAATCTTACTTTCTCATGATGTGTCCAAAGTAGGAAAGCTTCAGTTTCAATGGTTTTTTGCCTCCAGAGATAGTTTGGGCTTGATTTGCTCTAGGACTCACTTGTTAGTCTTTTGGGCAATCTAGGGTATTTTCAAAGCTCTCCTCCAGCACCATATTTCAAGCAAATTATTATTTTTTTCCTGTCAGCTTGTATCTTTTTCTGGTGAAAATTTATTGCAAATGATCCACCAGCCTCAGAACGATTATCATAAATTTTTATGGGTTCACAAGGTTTTTTTTTTCAGAAACAGAAGTTACTTTTGGGCCCAGAGCTCCCAAAGAAACCATAGCAGGCATATTTGAAATCTGAAAAAATAGATAATTCCTCTATCTTTGCATTTTTATAGTTTACCAGTAGCATTTAATACAACAAATTAAATTCACAATAATAATTCACAGGTTTGGTGTTTAAAATTGAGCATGTCCTATCCTCAACAGCCCTGCTAAGCTCTTGTAAACTCAATCCTGTGCTTCCTTTAAGGAGTCAATCCATCTAGTATTTGCCTCTTTTTCCTGCAGCCTTCAATTTTACCTTTCTTTAAGGAGTCAATCCATCTAGTATTCGGTCTGCCTCTTTTTCCTGCAGCCTTCAATTTTACCCAGAGAATCTTACTTTCTCATGATGTGTCCAAAGTAGGAAAGCTTCAGTTTCAATGGTTTTTTGCCTCCAGAGATAGTTTGGGCTTGATTTGCTCTAGGACTCACTTGTTAGTCTTTTGGGCAATCTAGGGTATTTTCAAAGCTCTCCTCCAGCACCATATTTCAAGCAAATTATTATTTTTTTCCTGTCAGCTTTCTTTACTGTCCAGCTTTCATATCCATACATAGCGATCAAGAATATACGAATGTGGATGATCTTGGCTTTGGTCTTTCCCAGTTCCTTCATTCATGGCCTTCCAAGCTGCAATATTCTCATGATTTCTTTGCTGCACTCTCTATTTGGACTGATGATTGAACCAAAGTATACAAGATATTTAACAATTTCAATTCCTTCATTGCCAACATTAAAGTGCAGTCCTGTAGTCATGATTTTTCAATTGCAGTCCTGTTTTGAACTTTCTTCTTTCACTTTCACTAAAAACCACTAAAAGTGGTTTCAAGTTGTTACTGCTTTCTGCCAGTAAGATGGTGTCACCGCTTATTCTGAACACAGTGTGGATTTCCAAATGATATATTCTCCATACAGACTGAACAGATAAGAGAGTAAAATACAGTACATGAATCACTGGTTACATGGAACTATTCTGTCTCTCCATATTTTATTCTAACCACTAGCTTCTTCTCCACAACACAGGTTTTGCATTAGTATAATGCTGAGGCACACCAATATCTTTCATAACAACTTGTAATATCTCACAATCCACACAGTCAAAGGCTTTGCTGTAGTTGATAAAGGATGAACTCATCATCTTCTTCTGAAGAAGATTTTTTGGTGCATTCTAGAAGCCAGCGGATATCTGCAGTATTATCCCAAGTGCTTCTTCTTTTTGGAATCCAACTTGCTTGCATGGAAAATTGCAGAAATGGTCCTACAGTCACTGCGCTCCTTTGCTTCTCCTTTCTTGGGGATTAGATGTTGAATAGACATGGGAGCTTCATATTAATAACTTGGGAAATACGAATATGAAGCTTGGCACCACAGGTGCCAGGGTGGTCCATTCCCACCTCACAGAACCAGCCTGGTCTACTCACTAGGCTCCTCACAGTGTTCATGTGTGTCCATCAAGGCGACATTGCATCATTTATGCACATAGTCCTGTTAGCACTTCCCCATCTTTTCCCTCAGCTGAACACTCCGGTGAGGAGGCAGGAACATGAGTCTCCCCACTCAGCTGCTGAGTGGTCAGCTGAGAGGAGAGGTGTGAAACCTTGTCACCACTGATGGAAGTGCATGCTGTGAGGAAATGGTGAATGGTTCTGGGGAGTGGGAATGGACTGCCCTGTGGTGTCGAGCTTCATGTTTACATCCCCTGGGATATGAATACAGAGCTCCCATGTCTAATACTGAACGTTTCCAGTCTGTAGGCATTTTGTTTTCCATAATTGTTTGAATATTCTTCTTAGGATGTTGAGAAATTCAGACTCTGTGGCTTGAACCAATTCTATTGGTATCCCATCTATCACTGGTGATTTATTTTTTCCCAGACCTTTCAGAATAGCTTTCACTTCACTTTCTAGAATTGCGGTTTCTTCATCAACTGAGTCTTCTTTAAAGGTTACTGTTATCTTTTTATCTTTTCTGTCTAGGACTTCAACATACTGTTTCCATTTTCTTATTTTATCTTGATTAGATAGTGTGCTTCTCTGTTGGTCATACAGCGTTCCTAATTTAGGCTTAAATTTCCCTTTGGTTTCTTTGACCTTCTTGGTTATCCCCTTTTGTTGTTCTCCTCTATTTCTTGCATTGGCTATTGCAATAGTTTGCTTTATCTCTACATGATTGTTGTTGAAAAGCTGAATTCAGGAATCCCACCCTATTTCTGTCACCTTTTACTTTGGCTTGCTGCCTGTCCTTTACAATTTTAAGCGTTTTCTTCTGTCATCCATCTAGGTTTTTCTCTTCCTTTTGATAAAGCAATTGTCTTTTTGCATTCTTCCCTAATGCTATCTCTGGTATCAATCCAATTTTATAAAGCTAATAGTTCTACATTCTCCACTCAGGACCCAACCA